ATATTTCTCTTCTTAAAATATTTTAGAATCCAACTTTACCGAGAAGCTGGGATAATAATTATTTATTTTGGAGCTTTTTTCAGTTACAGTCCTTTGGAGAACTCGTGAAAAACGAACCCCCATTTAACTAGATAGTAACCAGTTTCATTGAAATGGCATTTACGTCCAAAAATCTATACTGAGCAGACTTTTTGTGACAGGCTTCTTCGATGTTTTGCGGATTTCGCCTATATCTATACAAACATCGAGCAAATGGAAAACGGTCAGTAGTCGTCACTGCCATTTATACATAGTTGCGTACTTAAAAAAATCTTCACGCATCTTGCAAATAATCTTTTTATCCGCACAGTTAAGTGTCAAAAGAAAATGAAAACGCAAAAACTTGCATTGACAAGAAATAAAATGAAATAGGAAAATATGTGAAAAACTTTCGGAGGCATTGTTTTCACTTCTTGTGTTATGTAAGTATACATATATATATATATGTGGTACACATATATTCTTATTYCTATAGTGTTAATGTGTATCATGTTGTTATGATTTTGGTTTTCAGGCTTTCTGCGCATTCATTTCCATTTATCTTGTTATACAAAACGCTAGCGAAACAACCATTAGAAGCAAATTTATGTTTAATTTACAATAGGTATTACACAGTCGAAATGGATTCATGAAATTTTTAGACAAATTTTAATGCATGCTTGTAAATGATTTTTCATCAAACTGTTCAATGTTTGTAATAAATTAAATAATTTGATGGTTTCTTATAATTATACTTATTGTAAATAAAGAGCTTCTTCCCCTAGCGCTGGGAAAATTGCAAAAAGCGCTTCCACATGCACTCATACATTGCAGTTGCAGTCAAGTTTATTTGCTTGACTTTTTCGCGTCAGTATAAGGTTATCCGACAGCATTTATAAGCTCGAAATCGCCCACTTAAGTAGTTCCTGTCTGAGCTGTCCTGTTTTGTAGCACGTTTTGCTATGCCACGCAGCCCCACGCAAGCAGAAGATGTCTTAGAACTGGCGTTTCGAAAAGCAGTTTACGAAAATCCTCAACTTAACAAAATGCTCAATGTACGGACAAACCTTCAGAAACACCAAAAACAAAAAGAAAAAAATCTGTAAAGTAGGAGAAGAGTGTGCAACATCAACGATGTAATCGCGGGAAAATCGGGCGGTGGCATGTGGATGAAAATCGTTGAAAAGTTTAAGTGAAAGAAGAAGATTTGAAGACATAAGAGTTGCACAAATAGCAACGTGCCATGTTATGCTCTCAGTCCGGGTAAATGTTACCCGTCGGAGGTGATCATTGTTTTCCGTTTAGTCTATTCCTTTGTTTAACTTTYTTGTTATATGAACTTTGCAACTTATTTGAGAAATAATAAGAATACAAAGTAATGTATATACTAGCATAAGCAGCGTTATAAGGGTTTGAGAAAATGCAGTTTGGAGTAGTTGGTAAATAAAAGACTTTATGGCCATTAGACATGGGAAGCTTCAAACTGTTTAAGAAAAGTGGAATTTTTACAATCAACTACAGTTATAGCTACGAAATAGCAAAGTTTACTAAACAGTCGATAATTTTGCAACAATAAGTACATAAAATAACTACTTGGAGATTGTGATGATGGTCAGCCAAATTTGATTCTCTCTCCCACCACTAACAATGTATATTATATTGTGTTTACACAACATTGTTTAGTGTTGACAAATTTTGGTTTTCATATTTATGCTAAAGAAAATAAAATCCAATGTTATTTTAAGAAATGTCGTAAAACATTGGCAGGATAAAAGTAAAAAAGGAAAGGTAATTTCCGGACTGTCACCGGAAGTTTTAATGCCTATTTACACGAGCTTTAAATTTAAATGTAATATATATGTAGTGAAAAATTGAAAAAGCAGATGTTTTTATCAATTCTACTTATTACTTAATCTAGTTCTTACTAGTATTATTAATTTGACAATTTTTCATTGTATTGTATCTCCAGGTTTGATTTAATATCTTTAGTCTCTCTAATTTATTTTTAATTGAGATTTATTACTTTGAAAAAACATTCTATAATTATAAAAATAAATATTTTCCAATGCCAACTCGCAGACGTAATTGATACTCATGCCAAGACATAATGTGAACATAAACACTTGTTGCGAAATCATTTTTGAAGGTTGGTGTAATTTATGGCTGACACATCGCAATGCTTGTAGGGAACATATACTTTTCATCAGACCTTTTGACGGTATTACAATTTATCCAAATATGGTGGAATATAATATATCGATTGCTAATATGGGGAAATGAATATAAAATATTTTCAAGAAAATTATCGCGAATGATAGAAGTGCCGCAATGTGCAAAGTACAAGAAAAGTAATTTGCGTCACATGATCACGCACATAAATGTAGTACATATGTACAATATGAAAATTAACTAGCTGGGTGAAGGAAGTGTGCTTATTTTTAGTGGAATTGCATTTTTTCTACACACATAAGAATTACAAAATACAAATTCTAAAGTTGACGTTTATGGTAAATTTTGAGTACAGCTTTGAAAACATAATGTAATTTTATGAAATAAATAAGAAATAATTTCACATATCAGAAATATTCGCAATTTGAACAGCCCTGTATCCAACTTATGGGTCCTTTAAAAGTGGTGGTTGTGCCCATAATATCAAAGTAAGCACAGCCATTTATCTCCTGTGCCGCACACAATGGCCATGGCACAGCTTTTTTATCATTGTCGATGTTGGTGTTGTTGTGGCCATAAGCTTACATCTTAATTAAAGACGCTTTCGCACCTTTCACCCGATGCATCGCCACTATCAAAATCCCAAAAAGGAAGTATGCTATTTAAGGTGCAGTTGCTTATTTTCAAACTCGGTACGGAAATCGTGATAGAAAAGCAGCAAAATAAAAAAAAATATAAAAAACAAGAACAAGAAATAAACAAACACTCTTTGGCATTGTATGCTGGCTCATGCAGAAACAGCAAATCGTTTGGAGATTTTCGGTTGAATGCAACAGCTTGCAAAGCTAAGATGAGTCACGAATTCTGCTGGCAGTCAGCTAAACGCAAAGTGTGGGTATAATAAAAATTTTACGACAGCTGCTTGTGGTGAGAAACGATAAAATTCACATTGAAATTTGATTTAGTTATTTTCTTCTATTCTTAACACCCATTTGTTGACTCCCATTCACTATATTATACAAAAGTTCCAATAGTTGGTATAAGCTAAATGCATAATTGTAGTGCCTTTAAGGGAAGGCTCAGATTTTGAGAGTAATAAGTATTAGAAAATAATCATTTGAGTTTAGAATATCTAAATGCCAAATAAATCTAAATTTCTTTTATGACTAAGTGAATTGAATAAAGTTTGTTGAAATGTAAATAAAGTTTTCCAAATTTTTTAGATAGTAGCAAACTAATATTTTTAGGTCGCAGCAAGACTGATGTTATCCTAAGTTAAAGATGGAATATATGTAAGTATCTTAAATCTAGAGTTTTAAACACTGATATTTGCAATTGCTAGTTACCTGTACAAATAACTAAACTGAATTGATGCTTAGACTATTGTATCAAATTTATTGAGGGGCTCAGCAATGTTTGGTTTGCTTACAACGGAATCGCACAAAATTTGCAACAACTTGGCATAGGCCATGAATGAACTTTAAAAACAACAAACAAACAAATTCATACGGTTGCAGAAATAAAAACAAGCATAACAGCATTTGCAAATACATGACAACGAAGTCGAAATACACGAACCATGGTCCAGGTCCAGAGATTAATAAATTGATGGTATCCATTGAACATAACATGCAACTAATGACTGTAATCAATTTTACTTTGCATCTCAATCTGGCTTTAAAAACGTACGTAACAATATGGCGACTCACCGTCCATATGATTGCAAACTAAAGCATAAAAGTAAAAAAATAAACTCAAAGAATATTCAAATAAAGCTGATATTCATTGAGTGTGAGGATTCGCAAAGTTCTCTCCAGCAGTTCACTTACTCGGACATCTAGGCTTATACAACTTACACACCTAACATTTTTTACGAACTGAGTCAAATATAAGTATTTGCTCTCACATATGGCGCAGTAATACTTATAGTTTTGTTATCGATGAAAAGAAAGTTGTTTTCATGACCTAGTTATATTTTTAGCACTTCTATAGAAACCTTCTCTAGTTTCCCAATTCAACAGGTACAAAAACCATTTCATCAAACTCTTCATTATTATCCCAGATGCCTTTCTTTCTGAACATACATATGTACATATGTATTTCGATCCAATTGAGGGTATTTGAAGGTCGTAAAATTTTGGAAATCCTTTCAATCCTAATGTTCCTGTCTTTACAAATGGTAGTAAACTGAAATACTTGCAAATTTTACTTTTGCTTGCGAATTTAATATTCCAAAAATTCGTTCCGCTCGACTTTTGTGAAATGTTGAGGACGTTTAAGGTCTAACTGTGTGATTGCTGTACCGGCCTATTGTGTGGCATTCTACCGCACAGTATGAGCGAGAACATCTTTGTGTAATGTTGTATGCATTAGTAACATACACATGTAGAAGATGTCTAACTAAAATTTTTGTTCGAAACTCAATCGCGTCTATTACCTAATAGTTTAAATCTAATTTGTGCTGTCCATCTCTTAAACTTTCTGAAATATCTATTTGTATATCGAATTGATTTAATGTTTTATTTAATTTCTTTTAAATTCATCTATACAAGAGAGCGGCAAACTTGTAAACTTATATCTACTCAGCTGTTTTACACCTGAAGATAGCAATTCTTATATTGATATTGTTCTATTACAATTATCACACAACTCTAATTGGACCAACAAACCAATGAGACCATTGCATGCACACCTTAACTCAACACACTACTCAATTCTACTGAACTCAACTACAAGTACTCACAACATTTTACTTGAATGAGAGTAAGAAAAAATTCCACTTAATACATTCATGGAATTTTTGAGGCACTTTCCTTGACACTTACCAAATTGACTGCGCATCCAGGGATACAATGGCGATGGCATCCCTGATGACTGCGAATTTGGATTTTGTGATGGTGGTGTATGTTGTCCGGGATGGCCCTGATGCATTTGTGGTGGTCCCTGAGCTTGATGCATCATGGTTTGTGGTGGTCCGCCAACGGGTGGAATGCCAGTCTGTTGTTGGCCATACATACTCATCTGATGGTGGTTTTGATGAACCTTCGAAGGAAAGTTTATTGAAAGCTATTCATATATTATTCCATCTAAATTATAAATAAATATTCATTCATATGTMTGTATGTGGTATTATTTAATAATAAATAAAATTGTATTTACTAACTGAACATTGAAGTTGGGTTATTTGAAATAATATACAAATTTAAAAAAATTAGCATATGTATACGAGTATCAAATTATTCACTATTTATATTTCCAGAGCGAAGTGGATGATTTCGCTTACCTCATTAACATCTGGAACTCCGACATCGTTGTAACCCAACTGTGATATTATAAGACATAAAAATTGTATTTGCGTTAAATTTTGATAAAATTTTTGCCGTGAAAACATTTAATTTTTAATAAGAAATTTGATTTTATCAACAAAGTGGATAAGTTCTATTTTTTTTTATTAATATATAGTATATGTGGGAATATTGAAATTCACCAGTGATTTTTGAACATACATTGTTTGCGCATAATTACTACGTTCAAGGAATATGTAATTGAGGATTTTAAAAAATTTTAACTTTCATTTCATCTGAAGATTTCACATTGGTGATCCAGAGTATGAAGACATACTCTTACATCATTCTTATGAATTCAGTTTTGTATAACTCTACACACAAGTATACCACAACGGTTATCATTTCGCATATTAACATGTCATTTTGATGAAATTTGTGATATGGCGCTAAAAGTTCTCTGACATTCGTCTACTTGTGTGAGTTGGTTAGTTAGTTAAATACGATAAGTAAATATCATAAGTCTAATCACCTGTGCTTGTGGGTGTCCAATGTGGTGTGGCAAACTCATCTGTGCATTCATGTGATGGGCGCCCATTTGATCGACTAGGGGCGGTGAGCCGCCTTCGTGCACCATGCCTAATCCGCCCACAGCTGCTTGCAGTTTGCAACTGGCATATACTACGGGTTGCTGTTGTTGTTGGGCTGGATGTGTCACCTGTTGCGTCACTTGCGGATGCTGCTGATGCTGAGGTGTCGCCTGTGCTTGCTGCGTAACTTGTTGCGCCTGTTGTGGCGTAACTTGTTGCTGGGGTTGTGRCTGTTGCTGAAGCAGTGGGCTACCATTTACTTGGGGCTGCTGTGACAAACCCACCTGACTGGAAGGACTGTCGGGACGAGAGTAGCCTTGGTGCTCCATACTCTGACCGTTATAATAGGGCATACGATCGTAGGGCGGGAAGCGTGGATAGGGCATATTGCCCTGATTATTTGGATGTTGACTATAGTGATGCATTTGTTGCGCATCGAGATCGGCGACACCATTTCCAGGATAGTGGCCATGGTGCATTTCGGGTCCCATATAGGAGTTGGAAAAGTATGACGCCATACTTTCGCAATTATTTGTACTCATCGTCATATTGAAGGATTCTATTGTGTCTGTGGTAAACGTGGTGGCGGTGTTAATCGTGACTGAGGGTAGCGGATTGCAGAATGTGAAGTTCCTTTGGGGCGTTGTTTACTGTTGTTGATGAAGCTATAACGATCCGGTTGCTGGAAGAGGCGGGTGCTTTTGGGGGACTCGTGTTTCTATACAGGTGCTTGAAGCTACTTGGTTATCAGCTATACAACTTATACGGATACTTGTATATATACACTAATGTAGATTTTTACCTTTTGTGAAGCAAGCAAATAACAAATTTGATTAATAACATTTAAACAAATATTTTATTAATACTTACTTAAATCGGAACACCTATATAAATACAGTATACAATGTCGTTCTTAGCTTAAAATGTTTGAGGTATAAAAATGATTTGCGTTTCTGCTTTTCAAGTTGAATATCGCCTTAACTTTTCTAATTGTAGAGCTTTATCCTAATGTCACCCAACAATGTTTAGTAAATTAAAGTCCAAAAATAAGTTGTAGAATTTGTGATAAAGTCGTCTTAATTTCTACTCGTACAATTTTGATTCGTTTTGGAGTGAAACTCTGGAAAGATAAAGTAATAACCAAGTTAGTAATTGAAAAACTGAAAATATATGATGACGCTCATGTTAATATAAAATAATTAAACATGAGCTTACATTATATTCAAAGTAATAGATAATTAATTTAACAGGTACAGAAGGTTGTTTGGTTGCAACCGAATACTTTATGCTCTAACATGTTGTAATGGCCAAAGATAGGAGAAATATTTTCAGGTGTTGGCAAACCTTTATTTTAAATAATATAATCAAATGTGTATCTTATTAAATTATATTATGCTTTCCTTTTTGGTAAATTATACTAAAATCACTTTCATATAAAATACATGCGACATAATTATAAATTTTTAAGAAAGCTTGCATGCTTAATTTTGTCAAAATATCACATATTTGGATTAACCTAAACTCAAATGCAAAGTTATATGGAAAGTCGGAAATCACTATATAGGTTGTGGAAATAGTACTGAACCGATTTTAACTATTTTTAGAATTATCACATATTAATAAAAGAAAAAGATGACTTTTAAGGTACATCAAGGTAACTCACATAACTCTCTTAATAGTATTAAGATAACGCACATGCATAAAGTCAACAGAGGTTTGTACTGCAACCTGGGAGGGCTTAGACTTAGCTTGTTCTGTTTGGTATTAACATATTAAGGGGATGTGATCCTTGATCAGATAAACATGTAGATCCAAAGGCCTTGACCCTTCGTCTACAGACTGTCGTGCAGTCTATCATCAGGTCCACATAAAATTGCACAATTAGCCGGATTTCTCTCTCTGGGTGTTGGTTGCTGACATTGCCTGTTATAAGGGCTTTGAAAAGTATTGTTCTGATTCAACCCATTTATTATCAAGAAAAGGTTTCACTCTAAATTTCTTACAAACAAAAAAATTACGTCCAAATATGCCCCTCCTTAATGCGATCCTTTGTGCCAAATTTCATTTTAATATCTTTATTTATGGCTTAGTTATGACACTTTATAGGTTTTAGGTTTTACTCAAGTTACAGCTTGCATGGACGGACGGACGGACAGACTGACATCCGGATTTCAACTCTACTCGTCACCCTGATCTCTTTGGTATATATAACCCTCTATCTGACTCTTTTAGTTTTAGCACTTACAAGCAACCGTTATGTGAACAAAACTATAATACTCTCCTTAGCAACTTTGTCGCGAGAGTATAAAAATTACATCTTTATCTGTACGTGAGTCTTGTTTTTCAACATTTATACAAATTCTACAATTTAGTTGACTTTAGCGTCTTCATTCAGGTGGAAAATAACCTTCGACTGAGTATAATATATTCGTGAAATCATCGAACTTGAAGTCAGACTTTTAGTAAGCAGGACGCAGCTTATGCTCCAAGGAATGACTCTATTCTGCCGCGGTGCATCCATTTCCCCCTAGAAACTGGTAAAAACTGGTACCAGCTTGGAACAAACACACTGTATATAAATAAACTTAAGTGAAACTGAGTAAAAATAGTTAAAGTTTTGCTGAGTTTCCCACATGTTCTTTACGTTTTATTTTAAAAATATTCTTTCAATATTATTCACTACTATTTCATGTTAGCTTACAACCCTTTTGTTATAGAAATTCCAAAGCTGATTGAAATTTTGCTCATTGAAGCGAACTTTTAAATGATGAAATTCTTAATTACAATAACAAGCAACAACATCCTTCAAGGTAAGATTCTTTTTCGTTCATTGCCGGTGTGAAAACAATGTCGTTTGAGGTAATTGAACCAATATGTACTGGTGTTATATAATTTAGTTAGTCACTAGTTTGTAAAATGTAATCTTTTGAAATTGCAGGAACTTTAAAAGGAGTTAATACTGAAACTGCAGTGTTTCTGAATTATGTGAAATGAAATACGGGAACCTAATAGTTTTAATGAGTTAACTTTATTAAAGTCACATTTTTTAAGCAAAAATACTTTTTCCGCCGTAATTGAGTGGGTTAGTTTCGGCAACAACGATATCCTGTGCTAAAATTTCGTCTTATATCATTTAAAGCAATTTTTCAATCGTTCAAAACCTTAATATTCTATGCGCACAGTACTGGTTCGCTGTGCAACCAACTATGACGATCCCTTTCAAATTACCACGTCCTACTCCATTGCTACTACCACATGCTGTGGCGTATTCTTCCTCTGTTCCATTGTTTGTTTTGGCTTTTGTCATCAACAAAATAATTTCATATCCGGCCCGTCGCCGCCCACAACAAAAGCCAAACTGTTCACCGGCATTTCTATTCACCCACTCTTCCTTCTAATATACATATATACATAATATAGGTACGCTGAGTGGACTTAAACTGCCAAATACAGGCTTCCGTTTCAATTATTTCATGCCGTAGGCATTAGAAGGGCTGTTTGTTGATATCTTCTGGGTGAAGATGTGATACATAACGATAGATGCCCGGTCCAAATAAACGAATATATGTAGTATGGTTTACGAACCGGTTTACAGCGGAAACTCTTTATAACCATATTCAAGGAACAAGATAATTTGTATGTTAGAAAAAGAGTTTGTTTGCAGGAGGACGACCTATAACAAATAATATTAGAAGGCTAAGTACTTCAATTCTACTTTTGTTCCAAAACATCGATATGTTCTTGAGTCGGTAATTTAGAGGGAAGCGCATTATTTCATTGCAGAGAGTATCCGGGACGCCTATAAATATGTTTTAAATTTTGGAATAATAATGGAAACTTAACAAACTTTTGCATTTCCTATTTACGTTTTATCAAGTATTCGTTATTTAGAGCTTCGTTATATAGTGTTTCCACTGTATATGTTTTTGTATATAAGTAAAGAGTTGTATGTATGTATTTACATATTGTACTTAAATGGACGTCCATATGCAGTATGTTCGAATAGAAATGTTATACAAAAGAAAATGCCGTCAGATGAAAAACAGTTTCTTCAAATAACTTAAAATAACTTAGGTTAGAAGATTGCACTTCTAAAAAAAAACATGAAAATGATCGCTTAGAGAAATGTATGAAATATACATATGCATGGATGAAGATGCAGTCGCCAATGGTTTACTTTCATTTTAAGTGATTTGGGCATAAACGACGGGTCAACACATCAGAAAACTGGATTTGTGACTACCTGTGCCAAATGTAACATAGTTTTAGGAAAAATTAAACATGCAGCGCCATCTACTGAAAACAATCGCTAACTGACGATATAAAGTGGAGAGCAAATATTATATCTTTTTGCTATCCGCGGATAGATGTCCCCCTTAGAAACAAAAATGATTGATTGACACGTTATGTAGAGMGGAGAGAAATAACTGAAACGGGCATTAGCTGTTCTCGATTCTATTTCTCTTCTCGATATCTTTGCGCAGTAACAAAGTTATGTATAAAGCGGTGCCCAACTTACATCCCTCACAAAAATCACCACTCTCACTATTGTGAGATTTTTGTGATTTGTGAGGTTGTCCATATCCTGCRGGGATTTCAAAGGCACAAATGCCTACAATTACCTCACAAATTTGTGATGAAAGCAAACCTCACGGTTTTGTTTGTTTTGTTAATTTCAATATTTTTAAAGAAATTTGCAATTATTTGATTGAMATAGAATGGAGGAAGTATTCCAAAGGCGTTATCTATTACAAATATAAGTATTTGCCTATTACAGTAAAAATGTAACATACGGTCTTTGTATATTTTACTTTCTTCTAAGTATGAATAAAAAGAAATATACATATTTATGTTTAAATAAATTGGACAAGATTTTATTTTTTCTTGTGAGATATCAGCAAGAATAACCTCACAACAAACCTCAGAAATATTTATTTACAAATAATAGGGCTGAAAATTTGCGTTTTTTATAACAATTTCCATTGCAGCCAGATCGGACAAAATAATAATTTTTGGGCATTTAAATCACAACATATTTTTACAATTAAATATTATTTTAAATTGGGACTTTTAATGTATGAAKAAACTATTTAATTTTTTTATTTTATTTTGTAGTTTATTAAAACAACAGACTTTTTATATTGACTTATACAGTGAATTAGCCTGTTAGCTCTCAATTAATAAATGTCATTAATCATTTTTAATTCAAAATTAAAAAAAATATGCATGACAAAACGTTTTGTTTGTCAAATACATTTAAATTTCGTATTTTCTTTAATTTTCGTTGTTTTAAATTTTTTATTGGCGATTTTGAATGTTATAATTTCAATCTGGCAGTACCAGTCATTTTAATTGCGAAACGTCAAAACCTACCCCATCCAGTCAACTGTCAAAGTCGTACAAGCGATCAGCTCTCTTATATTGAATGATAGGAGAGTTGGGCAATAAAATTAAAGTGGTAGATTCGCTATCTCCAGTGCTATCATATTCTATATATATGATATTATATTYTAGATCAGTTTTACATTTTTGAGTGGCTCAAATGTTAACGAAAGATAAAACATTTATTTTTTCTTTGATTCTAAATTAATGATTGTTTTTATAAATATAACTCCTCTACAATGGCCATTTGACATGTTATTATTATTTTATTGTTTATGAAATATGTCGCTTCTAATTACGATGTCAAATTCAAAGCTATGTGTGATTCTTTATTTCCGACCATTTGTAAAATAAAATTAATTTGTATAATCCTAATATAACAGTTGTTGTATCACACAAAACAAATAAAGATAGATATTGGGTTATAAAATAAGGTTAAATATATATATCTCACAAACCATTTAAGCGAAAATAACAAATTTCGCTCAAGATAAACGCTTTATTAATCCCTACCGACACTGTGCAAATGCATTAAATCGGATCAGTCGGGGTCATACACAGTGAGGTAAAGTCGCATATATTGGCCTCTCGACCGATCTTAACCAAATTCCAATGTTACTGTGCGAACGATATAACCTAATCTTAAATTCTATTTGATTAATTCACTTTCCAGTCTACAAAGAAGTGATTTACAAAACAAGATAAAGCTTTGGACGAATAGTAGTTTTGAAGGATGCC